AAAAGTCGAACCGAAGACGACCAATACGTAGCGACCGCTCGATTTCCCGTCTGAACTATTATGAACATTAACGCTGTGCCAAAATTTACCTTCTTATTCTCATGATATTGTAGCAGTTTTTCATTGCTTGAAAATACAAATAAAACTACATTTTCTAAATTAATAATATTTTTTTTTTTTGTTTGAATCCCTTTGAGATGTGACTTGAAACGTATTCATAGAAAGGCTTGAATATTAAATATTCTATGAGTTAAATCAAACCGTCCATCAAATACTATCCCCCAAATGAAAATTGTCAGTTTTATATTACATATATTATGAACATCTGAGAGGGATACCTTTTGAAATTTTATACCCAAATGAGCAACTAGCAGTTTGTCAGATTACTACTGGTGACCTCAAAAATGATGCCGACATTGAAAGGGAGCGCAGGGCTCTAGCGGTTAGAGGTAATACATATGTTGGCTCGCAGGTTTTCCCGTTGTACAAAACAAGTTAAGGTTACGCTTTTTAAAACATACTGCCAGAGCAATGTAGGCCTTGGAGCGGTGCGAGCATTGCGATCGCACAAGGTGGCTGAAGGCTGACATGACGTTTTGTTGACGTTAATTAGGAACTCAAAGCACGAGTATTTCGTTGCTTACAAGCCAGTAAGTGACTCTTCGTGAAAAGGACTTACTGACCTGTTTCTCGGTGCAATTGTACAAGTGTTTGACTTAGACATGAATGATTATAGAGGTCAGGGGTGCAAACATTGCAGGAACATTGAAGGTGTTCAAACCAGAATTTAAATCAATATTTTCGGGCATGTTTAAATATGTGTGGCTGAAGTTAGAGGCAAAACACATGTATTATCAAGGGTAGTGTGTCGTTCCTAATGTGGTGGTGAAGGGGATAGTGCACGCATCCGAGGATGATCATATGGCTGTACAGTAGCACAGTGAGGCCGATTATCACCTACATCATCATTGTCTGGTGTAATAAAGACAACCAAAGGACGACTGTGGATGGACAGACTAAATAGTCTACAAAGGACTGCCTGCTTAATGGCAACTGGAGCGATAAGATCATCACCTGGAGCAGCTCTTAATACACTTCTGTGCCAAACGCCCCTTGAACTTTATTTAGACCAGGAGGTGGGGGAGGAGTTTCTACTATGTGTCAGGAAAGACTGTCATATCTTGGAATAATTTCCATCGAAAATTCTATTGCCCAGAAGTTAAATTATTCCGAATTAATAAAAAAATTGCAAGCGCATAAGCCAGAAAGCTGGCCATCTGCACTTTTCATTAAGTTTATTGTTGGTAGTTCTTTTATCTTTTTTAACACTGTAAAACACAATAACAGTTTAAATAGCAGTTGTCAAACAAGATCATTAACTCTTATTAAGAGAAATAATCTGTACAACTAGTCACCACAGCAAGGCAAGCATAGTGGCGTTGTCGAGCGCAACCGAGTAGTGCGAGGAGAATGGACAACATTTCATTAACGCGAATAGGCAGAACAACTGTTATGGCAAGAGTGACAGACACAACTGTGCTTGCCCTGCATATACACCTATAGATATTTGATAGGTCTAATACTTAGTAATTTCTTATATTTACGCGAACACTACAAATTTTAGCGCGTTTAATTTAAATTATTTTTAATTCTCGAAGTTTCGAGTGTTTTCCAGCACCCATGGTCACGGGGGACTTAGATGACTGACGTCCCGATGTCATTTTTAAACCCGGAGTACCTTCAGCTATTTTTTTAATTATTGTTTATGGTCCGATTTATGCACAATGAACTGACTGTGTCTTGAATTGTTGCAGTGGTATGCTTGGGTTTAGTTTTAATTTTATTGATTATAGGGTCCCAAGCAGGTGGTAGTATCCAGCCTCCTTCTCTATTGAAATTAGGATGTTTTTCTTAATTTCAATAGCCTCACGTATCATCCTTGGTAGGAATTGGTGTTCTTTCTTGGGGATTTGTAGTCTATCAAATCTGATGTAATGGTTGGGGCCGTCTAGGATATGATCACAACCTGCAGACTTCCCGGAACGTTGATGCTTCACATCAGCTATATGTTCTTTTACGCGGGTTCTAATTGATCTTTTTGTTTGTGTTTCTGTGTGTATAAGAGAGACCACATTCACAATCAAGCTTGTAGAGGAATATGACACTTGACGGGTGGTAAGTACTGACTAATCTTCTTCGGTGGCTTGTAGAATGTTCTAATAGAAGCTCGCTTCAAGATGTAGCAAATATTGTCTGTGACACCTCTGACATATGGTAGTATAGCGGGCACACACTCGACTGTGGCCGGCTTCACTCGGTCACTATGACGTAGGCGCGGGACCCGAAGCTTGTTATCGTGCAGAACTTGCTTGACGTGCTGAAGCTCGGCGGCCAGGTGTTTGCTGTTACAGATCCCTCGTACTCGCTGTAACAAAGATTTGCACACGGTAGCTAACTGTGAAGGATGGTGATGGGTCAAATACACCAAAAGATCACTTGAAGTCCTGCGCATACAATATAATAATATATTCAGGATGCTGTTGGGACTGCATCGTTGTTGTAGTGCATCAGGGATTTTTGTGGCATACAACGGCATACAACAAAAAAGCCGCATCCCTTATAAATAGGGTACGAGTCAGCCACAACTGCATTCTGAAGACCATAGCGGACAGGTTTACAGTGCCGCTGTGGAAATGTCAGTGCAGAGACTGATCACTGGGCCCTAACCACCCCCATGATGGTCTATCTCGGTAAAGGGTAACTTTTTTCCCTCGAATTAATCAAACCATGTTTTGCTAAACCTTGTTATTATTATTATGTGTGTACTACTAACTCATATATGGATTTTAAATTTTCTCAAATAAACAATTTTTATTTTTATCATTTATTATTTTATTATCAAAGGGGTTGCTCAATTTTGCGTTGAAGCGACGATTGATATGCCGACAATCGTGGCTGGTAAGTGCTGCCGATGGTAAGTGGCCGGTGGCCAGTGATAGCTGCCATAGATATAGAAATTTCTAAGGTAGTTAACGGGGGAGCGTTGATCGGAACGTAGTGAAAGGAAAAAAATTGGCACACAGATGTGTTCCACGCTCTCCACCTTTTGGCGGTAGAGGTGTGTGCTAGGGTGTGTACCTAGCTGTTGCCTAATGCAACAAGTAACACAAAAATTAAAAACGATGTCCGCCTCTGAAGCGGCGGGTGTATTTCACTCTACTTACGGTTACCAAGAATCCAGGAAGGAGAGTTCGCACAATACCTACTTTGCACCACAACAAGTGTCAAATACAATTCACATTAAAACTGCCATCTCCTGAGACATCGTGTTTTGCTCATCATAGTGAGAGCGCTAATCCAGTAACTAAACACAGAGCACCAATCTATGCAGTATATTTTAGGTGAGTATTATTAAGCTATTGCTTAGCTTCTATCGCGGGCCTTGAGCGCGGGGACCGAATCCAGAAATTCCGTAACGAAAAAAAACCTCACGCTCCCCACTCCGACGGGCACGGAGGTGTGGCGTTGAAAGCCGTGCATCGTCTAACGTCGTTTCAGTTCGGCAGACTTCGGCACTCGGCAGACTTCGGCACGGTGTTTGTGTGCGTGCGACTAGACGTATGCGTGTACACTAGCTGCTAACTCAATGATAAAAATTTCTGAATAACCTACATGTATTGTAAGATATTAAAAATATTTTAAACAATATTAACTTCTCATTTATTCAATAAGAGAAAAAAATTGTTTTCTTATCGGTCACCACGCTCAAAAAGTGTAACATGATTTAATATCAAAGACTTAACTGCATAAATAAAATAAATAAATAATTATAATTGCATAAGTTGATAAAAAATGCTATGCAATAGCTTTACCACGGCAGTCACCGAGTGCCACACGTATTTTTTTAATATAATTCGCGGGCATGAGCAATAAGAGTGGAGTGACGGGAGTAAACTCAACCGACAGGTTCGAAGTCTACAGACCCAGCAGCAGAGCAGCAGCAGCAGAATGTGTAATCTATGAGAGCTACAGGGTTTTTGTTACATGTTTTAAACGTAGTAGAGCAACGCTGCAGCAATATTATAGTTGTAGCAAGAACGGGTCGGCTCGATCGGGGACGGACTACGCTCTCACAGAATACCAGCGTAAAATAGCAGCTTAATACTGCTGTGTGTCGTATGGTGAGTGTAGAGATCCGATTTTTTTACTGGAAACGAGGCATTGCACCTTGGTCCTAAGAGATGACAAAGCATCTGCGTTTTGATTCTTAATCAAGGATAAATGTAGATGTCTATGGGCCACAGCATCCACTTACCATCAGCTGGACTCTGTGCTCGTTTGTTACCCTTATTCTATAAAAAATGTTGTATACATCGTTCTTATTAATAGTTTAATGAATTGAAAATTAAGTATAATTAAAATTAAAAATCGTATGTTAAGAGGTAAAATGGTCTTTGACAATTGCAAAAACTCGACTAGAGTTATTGAATAAACGGTTACTGAATTATTGAATAAGAAGAACCCGTTATTGTGTCTTGTTTTTTTTTTTTTGGAATGCATATTACTATAGTTTTTATAGCTTCGATGAATGGGACTCGAAAGGCGAAGGGATGCTAAATGATGCTATATACACAAAATAAAGTTTGTGTTTTAGGCGAAGATACGATACTTGACGCAGCAGCGTATCTTTTACACGTGTTACGCAAAACTTATACAATTGTTTACGAAAAAAAATTCAGCTTGGACTATAATTGTTATTCATTACCTATATTTAATCTAAGAAATCGGAAATAAAACTAACCGTTTCTCACAAAGACAGCAGAAATTACTATAGTCTCATATCTCAACTATTTTCATATTTTTAATATGTATTTAGTACGATATTATTAAATTAAATAAGTAATTGTTTTAATATTCAAGTTATAAACATATAATGGTATGGAAAAATGTCGCTCGTACAATTTCAGGTATTATCGTTCTCCTTACAATAGATTGAACATTTACTCTGTTGAATTGAATTCTACTAGCGAAATCTTCAGCATTGCTTTCTCCTTGTGTATCTGACATATTCTACCGCAAGTTGCTTTCCTCTACAACGTTGATAACAAAACAAAGACTGATATGAATAATATATGTAATATACAAGTAAGTAATAATAATTAGAAGAGCGTAACAAAACTTAAATACGACGTTTCCTTTTTAAATCTTGCATGTTAGAGAAAATGTACCATGATGCTAAAACGTATGCATATATGAATATTTAATGAATGTATAAAATTATGTTTGCTGCCTGAATTATCAGACCTTAGATTTTAATCACAAAAATGAAAGTTTATAAAGAAAGAAAGTTATGACTTATGAGGAAATTCTTATTTTTGACGTTTGCCAAGATTTTTTGCTATGGTGTTACTATTTTAGTGTGAAACAATAAGTTACTTATCTTAGTTATTTTGTAGTAAATATCGTAGCATAGATGACAACGTTCTTCTGTCTATCATTTTGGATACACCATATTACCAACAATGTTATCTTAGCAGATCAAAGTTGGCACACACATTAGTGATGAAACAAACTGTGATTACGGAGTCCCACAAGGAAGCACTCTTGGACCAACTCTTTTCCTGCTCTACGTTAACCAACTGTTACTCTGCAACATAGAATTAGAAAGAGCTGATTTATTAATGTACGCAGATGACACTGTCCTGATATTTCATGATCAGACTTGGGACGGTGTGCAAAAACTTACAGAGAGAGGACTGTGTGAAGTTTCGAAGGCTCTGGAAAATAGTCTGCTATCGTTAAACATAGAAAAGACGAAATATCTATGTTTCAGGATAACAGAGGCTACTAAACCCTCCAGCAGCTTTAAAGTCAAGATGCACACTTTCCCATGCAATACAATACCCTTACTTCCTGGCAGACAATGTGGTTGTAAAGAACTAGAAATGGTTAAACACGTGCAATATCTAGGAGTGACAATTGACGAGCTAACTTGGAAGCGTCAAATTTCAAATGTCACGAGTAGAGTAAGAAAGCTCATTTATATTTTTAAGAACCTAAGAGAAATTGCAGATAGCGACCTCCTCCTATATGTGTACAAGGCACTCTGCACTCTGCACACTCTGCACACATGCCAATCTGTCATAACGTATTGTATTGCAGTGTGGGGAGGTGCAGCGAAAACCCATATGCTGGGACTGGAATGGGCTCAAAGAGCAATTCTAAAAGTGCTATGTCTTCTCCCTTTCAAATATCCCTCACACGCTTTGTACCAACACTGTAGGGTCCTCACTGTGAGACAATTATACTACAAATCTATAGTTCTCAGGTACCATAGGGAAGTTGTGCCGTCTTTGCCAACGTCTCAGAGAAGGAGAGAGGTATGTCCCATGGTACGGACTCGTACGGAGTTTGCCAAGCGCCAATATTATGCGTTGACTTCACGGGTGTATAACAAATTAGGTAATATTCAACATTTACGGAAATTTAATAACTATAAATTAAAGAAATATATAGAGGACTTTATGTATAAATTAAATTACAAAGATACAGAACACATGATGGAAAGTATAAAGTGAAACGCACACAGGTACCCATACACTCTCACAAGCACAGACACACACACACACACACACACACACACACACACACACACACACACACACACACACACATCACACACACCACCTAAGAGTACACACAACATAGGAGTACATACACAATTTTTGTATACTGTAAGGTAAGTAATACATTATGTACAATATAGAAAAGAGACATGAACAGCATTGACTCCTGTAACACAGGCTTTCCTAGCACAGGAGTCAAAGATCACTGTTTGCTCATTTCTTATTTTGTACCAAATGTAATAAAATTGTAAAATTGTGAATTGTTTAACTTTTCCTTATGTGTGTGTCAATAAAAAATTATTATTATTATGGGGTATCTATATAGTTTTCTCATCTGGTTGGGTTCTATAAATATATAATTATAAATGAAAATGAAAAAATAAATATACATAAATATCAATAACATAAAATAAATATAAAAGTACATAAATAAATAAAAGCCCAACCAGATGGAGGCTCTCGGCAGGGGAGACCAAACGGCCGAGGGTTAGGGGGAAAGGGAAAGAAACCGGCGGACGATGCGGGCGGTATCGAGGAGCACCGCCTTCTGCATTTGAACCTGGAGCGGTCCGCCACGTAGTCCCAGCCGCCTCAGATGACCCGAGAGGCTGACTGGGATTAGCCCGTTTGCAGAGACGACTACAGGAATAATTTCGGTCGGCAGACCACCCCACATGTCGGTCACCTCGTGAGCCAGGTCCAGATATTTTGTTTGCTTGTCTGTTTCGGCTTTCACGAGGTTCTCGTCATACGGAATGGTAATGTCGACCAAAAATATCCTTGACTGTGCCCGGTCCATCAGCACAATATCAGGCTTATTCGCAAGAATAGTCCTGTTTGTGATGATGGCCCGGTTCCAATAGAGCCTGGCGTGATCATTTTCGAGCACGGCTTCCGGCAAGTACTTGTAGTACGGCAATTTCCGGTCCACGAGACCGTATTTCAGAGCGAGCTCCTGGTGTAGAATTCTGGCTACTAGGTTGTGCCTGTGCAAGTACTCAGAGTTAGAAAGCGCCGAACAACCGGAGATAACATGCCTAAGTGACTCACCGGGATGGCGACAAGCTCGACAGATGTCGACGGTGCCATCCTATAGGATGTATCTCCGATATTTGTTGGTCTTAATAACCTGATCCTGTATTGCACAGACAAAACCCTCGGTTTCCCCGAAGAGATCACCAAAGCGTAGCCAGTGGAGGGAGGCTACTGTGTCTACGAAAGGCTCATGTAGAGCCTTGTAGAACCTCCCGTGGAGCTCCTTCTCCTTCCATACGGTCTCTCGGTCGGAAATGCTCTGCACTGCCGGGTCTTGCCATTGCTCGTTGGCTAAGGATAGAGGGGTAAGTCCTTTATCACAAGAAATGACGTCCATATAGAATGGATCATCCGATCTCGCCAGGAAGTAATCACGGAGGCTGCACACTTCGCGATTATGCATGGTGAGCGCGCTCAAGAAGCCACGACCACCATGCTTCCGCGACAAGTACAACCTCATTACCGACGATCTCGGATGATGCATCCTATGGGACGTCATGGTAGTGCGGACTTTTCTATCCAGGGCGTTAAGTTCAGTCTGAGTCCACCTGAGTATGCCAAAGGTATACATGAGGACAGGCATGACCCAGCCGTATATGCGTGTGCCTTATTCACACCGGACAAAAGGCTGTTAAGCACTTTGGTCAAGCGCGCATAAAACACGTCGCAAACTGACTGTTTCATACCAGTCTCATCGATACCGATGTTTTGTGACATACCCAGGTATCGGTATGTTTCAGCCTCGGAAAGGGTCCTTAAGTTGACGGGCATAGATAAGTCTACGCCCTCAGAGTTAGCAACCCTTCCCCTTTCAACATGGAGGACCGCACACTTATCCGTCCCAAGCTCCATTCCAATGGAATTGCTAAATTCACAAGTGATGTTTAGCAATTCCATAAGATGGGAGCGACTGGAGGCGAATAACTTGAGGTCATCCATATAGAAAAGGTGGGTCACTTTTGTCCCTCCTCTCCGTAGCTGAAATCCCCTCCCGGAGCCCTCCAGTAAGGTACTGAGAGGGTTCAGAGAGAGGCAGAACCAGATTGGACTCAGACAATCGCCCTGGAAGATACCCCTTCTTATCCTTATGTGGTTCTTCGCAGCCATCATCAGCTCGCCCAGATGACAAAGGATCGTACTCCACTGCCCCATACACTGCTCAAGGAAGTCTCTAACTGTACAGTCTATCTTGTAAAGATCGAGGACTCTCTTTAGCCATGTATGGGGCACCGAGTCGAATGCCTTTCTGTAGTCTATCCAGGCGGCGGAGAAGTTCCGACGGTTGCGTTTCACCACTTTGCCAATGACCGCGTCAATGAGGAGTGGTTCCTTGGTTCCACGACCACCGCCCCGACATCCATTTTGAGCGCGCGACATCACCTGATTTGAGTCCAGGTGACAAGTGATTCTCGCGCTCAAAATGGATGTTAGTGTCTTGTATATGGTCGGTAGACAGGTGATGGGGTGGTATTTGCTCGGGTCTGTGGTACCCTGGTCTTTAGGAACCAAATGAGTGATCCCAGTAGTGAAGAGGCTTGGGAGCGACTTCTGGTTGAGAGCCTCTTGAAACTGTCGGGCAAGCACAGAGTGACACACCATGAACCCCTTCAGCCAGTAGTGATGCAGCCCGTCAAGCCCCGGACTTTTCCAGTTCGGGGCCCTACGGACCGCCTCAGCTACGTCATCCGGCGTTATGATGACGGGGTCCATGGGCGTAATACCCGCACACTGACTCGCCACAACTTCCGTCCAAGGGCCCTCGCTGTGGTTTACGGGCTCTGACCACAGGCCGCGCCAGAATGCTACAGTGTCGGCCTGATTCGGTGCTGGACCCGTTCCACTTACCATTGGTCGCTCCAATGATTCATAGAGCCTCTTCTGATCACTCTGGAAGAGACGATTCTGGTTGAACCGTGTCGACCTCTCGGTATATCGCCGAATCCGTTTTCCCCAAGCAGCGATTCTCTGCTTCAGATCATCTATGCGCTCCGTCAGTTTTTGCGTTATATCCGGCTGGGACAAACTGACATTTGTCCCAGCAAACGCCATCCTGACGGTGCGCACAATTCTTGGCCTGTTGTTGCCTGATCTGAAGCATATCAGTCTGCCGATGAGAGCTCTAGCCTTTGCGATACGTTCCTCAATTCTTCTTCTCCATGCTGGGATAGCGCTACTATGGCCAGTAGCGCGTCCAGCCGTGGAAACCTACCAAATGTAATAAAATTGTAAAATTGTGAATTGTGTAACTTTTCCTTATGTGTGTGTCAATAAAAAATTATTATTATTATTATTATTATTAACACTGAAATAGTAACTCTTTAGCAGGTAGATACAAAGTAGGAATAATGGTATAAATAAGATACTAAGTAGAACAACACACTTAGATTCTCTGTTCCGCTATAGATTTGCGAATAGTTAATAAACCGTTAAACGTTTCAAATAAAAAAGTTAACCTGTAATGAGGAAGATAACTTAGCGAAATAATTCGTTCCCAGCCGGTATTTAAATATTTTTATAAGAGCTGGTGAATTATAAGTGCTTATCACGTGCTCGGCGGTAAATAAAAAATCGCGAGGAATTGATACTTAGTAGTTATTTACACATTGCAGATATTTTATTATTGTAGCACGAATAGGTTAGCCCAACCGAGGAATGACAAAAAAGGAGCTTTCACAGAATGACAGCGTAAAATAGCAGCTGCTATGTTTCTAATGATGTGTGTAAAGAACCATTTTTACTGGGAAGGAGTTATTCCATCTTAGTCATCAGGAGTGACAACTCATCTGCATTTTGATTCTTAATCGTGTATAAATGTAGATGTATTAGGGCTACAAGTATCAATGGACCGGCCATATAGCACGAAGAACCGAAAACCGTTGGGGAAAAAGGGTTCTCGAGTGGCAGCCTCGTGGCGAAGTGTAGCGTGACCCCTCACTAGATGGAGTGACGACCTGGTAAGACATGGAGGAAGTTGATGGATGCAGGTGGCTCAGGACCGTGCTTTGTGGCATACCTTGGGGGAGGCCTATGTTCAGCAGTGCACTTGTGAAGGGATGTAATGATGAGGATGATGCATATATGATATATTTATATGCCTTACCTTTCCTGCGCCTGCTTGCGAGCATTAGTTAGAATGAGTAGCTTGATTCTTAATTGGCTGTAATTGTTTATGGGCCTCAGCATCTACTTTCCATCTAGTGAATTGTGTATTCGTTGTCACCCTTGATCTATGAAAATATATCCAAATCGTCGTTCGTATAAACTTTACACCAGATGTGGCAATGATCCTAATTGTTATTTTAAAAGTATGCTGGACGTCTTCTAGACCGATTCGGAAACATTAAGGCAGTGTCCGATCGATTCACTGCCCCTTTAGTCTAGTGGACGTATGCCGTACTGATCATATCGTCCAGGGTTCGTAATTCGGATTAGGTTAAAATCAGTTATTAGGTTATGCTATCAAGAAATTATCAGTAGTAGTTCGGAGTCAAAAACTTGGAGTTGTTTCAAACTCGTGCCTTAAAAGGAACGTAAAGCCGTTGGTTTTGCGCCTGATCTCTCTCAGCTAGCGCCGGATCAAAATATAAGAGTAAGGCCGGTTTTAGAGCTCGACCGACCGTCATTGCGTACCATCGGTCCTGACGATACGCATAGCCGATCGTCAGTTTGTAGCGTTCAGAGCTTTCCTGAGCAACGAAACTGGCCGGACTGGTACAGTCACAAACACGTACACGAAATGGACGCGTTAATTGTTTAATTGCTGCTTACTATGTTCGTAAACGTATTAGGAACAGAAGACGTAGATATTAGGTTCACCCAATCGTCGCCCAAAGAGCACTTCCAGGGGAATTTACTACTTTATATTCATTATTGCGCGAAGATGAAGAAACATTTTTTAATTACTTTAGAATGTCAATCAAAAGTTTTGATGACTTGTCAGTGAAATTACAAGACAACGTAAAACATCCGCGAGGTGTTCGGTGTCGACATATGCCATCTTTGATAAAAATTACTCAAATCACCAACACTATTTAATACCTATAAAATCATACAATATTATTAAAGTTTAGGTTTGATTTTCTTGACGATGATACACGCATCCGTACGGTCGGTGTAGCACTGAACGCGTCAATATGTTTCCATAGCGCGTCGGTCGACCGACGGTACGCATGCGGACGCGCTCGACCGACGGTCCTCGTACGCAGTGCGTAGCTATATACGCGTGCGTACGGTCGGTCGAGCACTGTAACGACTTGTGAATTTTCATACAAAAGGCAAGCGCGACCGACGTACGCACCGACTATCGGTCGAGCTCTGAAACCGGCCTAAGAGAATAGGTAGTGTTTTTGCACACGTAAGCACTCGTACAACAAATATCTCTGTTCTAACATTTACCTCTCTTCGCTTAGTACTCTCCGATAGTTGAGCAATGACATTTATTGCGAAAACAACTTTAAGAGTATTGTAGATGACGTGACACATTAGTATTACCTTTCATAAGAATTTGATCGGATCAACCTATTAGAAATCATCCATGTCTCTAGCACTGTACCAACTTATATTTCTCGCAATATGTCAAAAGTCTAACCATGTTGTGGAGGTGTAAGAGTGTCAACCATCCCATATCGTCCCGTGCGAGTTACAAGAGAAAAACTGAAACATGGGATGGACAACCGAATCTTTCTGGTAATTACCCAATTTTTTTGTTAACAATTTGCTTGGTAGTTGGGTTGGCAGCTGCGGCAGACTACCAAGCGTGGCAACTATGGCAAAATCCCTCCTGATAAGAAGTCTTTGAGTGAGGCCTATGTTCAGTGGTGGATTTTTATAGGCTGGATTTTATTTGGATCAATGAATATGTTCAAAGAAATTTATTTTAGGTAATTGGTTTTTAGTCTGATTGATTGCTTACGATACAACAAAATAATTCGTTCCACGCAGTTAAGTAATAATTTAAATTAATTTTGCGTCGTAGTCGTAAATTACCTGACGAAGACCTCGTCAGGTATACGTCAAACTCTGAAAACTAGATTGTACAACCAGTGCGTGTTGCCAGTGATCACTTACGGATCTGAGACGTGGTCCTTCCCTGCTGGCCTTATGAGGACGCTCAAGGTCGCTCAGCGAGCTATAGAGCAGGCTATGCTCGGAGTTTCTCTGCGTGATAGACTCAGGAATGAGAATATCCGCAGTAAAACCAGAGTGACCGACATAGCCCAACGGATTAGTGAGCTGAAGTAGCAATGGGCCGGCCATAGAGCTCGAAGAACCGATAACCGATGGGGAAGAAAAGTTTTCGAATGGCAGCACCGGTAGACGTAGTGTAGGGCGACCCCCCACTAGATGGAGTGACGATAAGACATGCAGGAAGTCGATGGATGCAGGTGGCTCAGGACTGTGATTTGTGGCGTTACTTGGGGGAGGAATATGTTCAGCAGTGAGCTTGTGAAGGGCTGTAATGATGATGATGAGCCGTAAATTAACATTACGGAAAGAGAGTAAGTTCAAAAAGTATATAAATGCATTATTTGTTACAGACCTCTCTTATCTATCTCTCATTCCTCAGAGGGTTATAGACAAATTTTGTGTTTAATTAACCCTCCAAGATGTTTTAGTGCAGAATAATTGACTTCACATATCCTGGATTTCTTGCAAGGTAATTCATTATCGCCAAACAAGTGAACACCTAAAATTAACAAATTGGAATGGTTCAGGAATCGGGATCGACTTCTTCGCTTAAATTTAAGACAGACATAAATTTTAATAAATAAAACTACATTGTAATAAATAAAACTACACAAATGTGAGTAGGACTCACGCCCTGAGGATTCCGTAATAAATTATGGAATCAGGTACCTATTTGTATCAAAATATTTAAGTTTCTGAAATTCATAATTCATAAGTAAGGTAAGCACCGTACACTGCTGTAACGAAAAGGTAGGTCGAAATTTGATATTTACTTAAATTTGTAGTGAAAAAATATTCTCCAATACAATACTTTAGTCATAATATATCATCAGTCTACTTCATGATCGATGCCCAAATTGCAAAAAAGTAACTTTGTAATTGCAAAGAAAAACTGATACAACAACAAATTAACGACTTACGGAATTGACATGAACTTGTACTGTAAAACCTTGCTTCTTACCAAAGTTTACAGTTCTAGGTCAACGTAAACTACCCTATAGGTTTTGATCAGTGTTTACGAGTATCAAAATATATGACAGATTTGGAAGTTTAAGTCTTTTACAAAAAAAGGACCGTAGAACTATATTTTGTTATTAATTTCAACTTGATACCTGTTTCCGTTTTGGAGAATAAAGGCCTTGACAGACGGACAATGCAGTAAAACTTTAATGGTTTTCATTTTCACCTTTTAAGGTGCGGATTCATAAAAATAATGAATTTAGTAAACAAAATGGAAATGTTCGTTGAAAATATATTGTAAAACGCAAATTTCCATGAACAGCGTTTTATCAGGAAATAGCTGAAGAGCTATTACGCGGACAGTAGCTGCTATACATAAAACTAGGTTGCGTGGCTCCACTCGTCTAGGGCGGCGGCCCAATCTACAGGGTTGAAACGGGTGTTGTATCGTAGCAACGGGCAGCATCCCTGTCAGTGTGGTGCCGTCAGTCGCCCGGGACGCTTGTGTCTCGCAAAGAAGCGTCGTGGCCACGCATTTACGAAAACCACCCAGTGTTAAGCGCTTGGTTTTGCCCTTACCGACGACCGCTCTGTTGTACAAGTATGTAGTGCAAACTTTGAAGTGAGCCTAGTGGAACATTAACCGATACAATGTTCATTCTTTTAATTTTACTTACTGTGTATTTAATAACGCTATGTCATGACTGAGACGTGGGATGAAATAATTGCAGCGTAGTTTATTGTATAATAAAAGGTAAGATAATTTTTTAACAATATTTTATAAATGCATAGCGACGTTTTACAGCACAGTAAAAGTATTTTTCACGTAGTTACTTTAATTTTGAATTCAGATATAAAGGTAATGCGAAAATAATGCAGTAATATTACATGACTTCCACTATTATTATGTATTACCAAAATCGACAAATCTTAAAAGAAAATAATGAAAAGAAATACATAATTATCGTGTCCACCCGAGAACGAAACACTTGACGTTTTAAACAAAAATTAAAAACAAACAATTACAAAAGGGAAAGCGCTGAATAATTGCGATAAATCTAATCATTATTCAAAATAAAATATCAAACGAACCATTTTCTTTGAAACATCGACAGTTAAAAAAAAATCTCATTACGTTTCGAGAAAGATATTTTATTGTCTTTATCAACTTTTTCCACGGTTCTTTATAAGCTTTTTCCTAAATCTATCTCCTCATAGGATACTCCTAATGTACAATGTATTACTCAACTTATTTTATTTATAGTAATGATTCTTAATCAATTGAACGTTTTATCTTACTTTTTGGCTCTAACTTAATATATAGGATTGAGCATGACTTAACACAACGTGGCTGACCCTCGTACAATAAAGCTTATGACAATAAATCGTTAGGACTACAGACAAAAATAGATCGGAAAATCAAGGTTGGTGGCCCCGTTTATCAGTCTTACTTATGAAAGCATAAAGGGCACATTAAATTTTATCATTTTATGAATTTAAATGTGAGCTGGCGTGTGGGGGTGGCGTAAGAGAAATTATAGTCCCGTTTTATCCTGTGTATGTTATAAGAAATGACGATAGGAAATTTAACAAATTTCTTAATATAAGTAGACTTTGAAAGTTGGCAATATAACTAATCTTCTCTTGTTTACGCCAGACGTAAACACCCAGACTGTACTGTGTTGGTCAATCTATTTTCCAGGCCTAACAATTAAGAAAAATTCTACTTAAAACTGGGAAGAATATGGTCAGTAGTGCACATATATGGATTGAAGTGAAAGAAGAAAAAGAAAGCAAAATGAACTGTAGATAAATATTTTTTTCATTATTCATGAAAAAATATTTATCTACAGTTAATTTTGCAGTTAACTGTAGATAAATATATTTGCTAAGTATTGTGTATTGAACAACCGCCGAGTAAGAAAACAGCAAGCTTCACATCCCTGCCATGTGAGGATGGTCCAAAAGAAATCCCCAATTTTATTCATCCATAGGTTTTTTAATTTTATTCGACCACGGAAACCACCAGAATGTCCTCTTACTCAATGGAGTACGAGAACATTTTATGAGATGTCTATTATGATATCTAGTCGTCTAATGAGATGACAGTATAATTATCTCTTATTTACCTAATGTAAATGTTATTGGCAGCTTAATGCTGCTGTGTTTTGTACTGTAAGTGCAGAGAACCGGAAACTCTTTTTACTAGAAACAAGGCATTCTATCCTAGTCCTCAAGGGTGAATTAATCTGCATTTTTACTATAAATCGGGGATAAATGTAGATTTCTATGGTTTACAGAGTTCATTTACCATTAGGTTGACTGCTCCTTATTAAGGGTGGTATTCTATAAAACAAGATTCACATGTCTGCCATGTGAGAATGGTGTTAAAGAATACTTCACTCCATTTTATCCTTCAATAGGTTTCGTACGAAGCGATCATGGAATATACAATAATGATTTAGTATCCTACATTAGATGAGAGCATAATTATCTCACATTTACCAAATTCGAAATGTCCAAATTACAACATCAACAGCTACAAATGAATGAATTCCGATATTTTAATCGTCAATTATTCTGAAAAGCATGGCGATTACCTACGACATATCATCCTGTAGGTACTTGTAAGTTGCAAAATCTATTAAGGCCCCGGTCTTGTAAAAATTTGTGTTGTCGCAAAATTTACAGCAAAACAAATATTTTTTATGGTATGTAAAAAAGAAAAAGTAAAACATATTTTACATTTATTAAAAGTGGAGGATTTGATATTTTGGAAACTGTTTTATAATTTTATTTTGGTGTTTAAATTGATAGCTCTATTAGGCGTTAAACTTACCTATGTTTAGGTTACATGCGTAAAAGGTCTTATTAAAGCCTCTGCTATGTACAAACCATAACAATATCAAGAAAAGTATTCAGATCACATTTATTTACATATTGTTTACAATAATCTGATCCGTTCACTTTTTTAAAATTGCTTTAATTTTCTTATTTTAAGGGCTTAAAAAGTTGTAATTTCATGAATTTTTTTTCTGCAAATATCTACTTTTTTCTATTAGAAGTATAAATGTGGCAAAGTCGTACTTAAAACCACATAAAGTATAACTATTTTAAAGTAAATTAGATATAAATAAAATTAAAAAAAATATATTTTCGTACCTTTTACCTATATACCATTTATAAACTAGAAACGCGTGAAAGTTCTCTCAGTTCCGCTGGGATTTCTCGGCAAGCTTTTTTATAAAAGTGCTGTATAGGATTTATCCTTATTAGGCCTAATTCCCAGATGTCCATTCACAATATAATATTTTAACAACTTAAAAATAAATTAT